TGTCTGTGTCTGTTTCTGTATGTATGTATGTGTGTGTGTGTATGTGTGTCCAGCTGTGCGTGTCTGTGTCTGTTTCTGTATGTATGTATGTGTGTGTGTGTATGTGTGTCCAGCTGTGCGTGTCTGTGTCTGTTTCTGTATGTATGTATGTGTGTGTGTGTATGTGTGTCCAGCTGTGCGTGTCTGTGTCTGTTTCTGTATGTATGTATGTGTGTGTGTGTATGTGTGTCCAGCTGTGCGTGTCTGTGTCTGTTTCTGTATGTATGTATGTGTGTGTGTGTATGTGTGTCCAGCTGTGCGTGTCTGTGTCTGTTTCTGTATGTATGTATGTGTGTCTGGCTGTGCATGTCTATGTCTGTTTCTCTGTGTGTGTGTGTCTGTGTCTGTGTCTGTGTGTGTGTCTGTGTTGCTGCCTCCCCCCCCTCCCAGCCCCCCTTGAGCATGAGGATGAAGAGACTGGCTGTGCTATGCTGTGCTGCTCACCCAGGCCAGGCAGCTTCTCATTTTCTCTCCTTCTGTTGACAGTGACGGCGCTGGCAGAAGCGGAACCTACGTCCTGATTGACATGGTTCTCAATAAGATGGCCAAAGGTGAGACTGCGAGTCTGGCTGCTTTGTTGTGGCTCAGAGATGGGATGGCGTTGCTATGGCAACATGGGGCACAGTATTCACAGGAGGCCTTGGAAAAACTTAGCTGATTGTTGTCCCTTCCCTGAGTGTTGTCGAAGCCGTCTGCAGCAAGCATGTTTGTTTTTTGAGGTTCATCCTTTGTTTTCGATGGAATCTGCACACATAGCGGGTCCTGGATAAGGGTCTGGTCGCATATGGTCTGATACCAGTGTGAGGTGGGGGAGAGGGCAGCCTTGACCTTCAAATGCTACCACAGGTCGGAATGCCCTTACATGCTCTGTGTAACTTTCTGCTGCTAACTGCTTTTTGCTGAATATGATTTCCTGCCATCAGCACCTAAAAACCCACCTGATACCCTCAGTGTCACCATCAGTACACCACTTATCTCAGAGGAGCTGTGTGTGTTTGCATGTGTATGTGCACCATGCTGGGCCTAAACACAGCCTCACACATGCTAGGCAAGCACCTCTGCCTCTCAGCCCCACACAAAGCTTTCCAACACCCTCCTTAAGACCCCAAGAGGTGGGACTGTGAACTGGACATGGGGCCTGTCCTTCATGTACGGGGACGTAAGCAATGCCACCTGCCACTTTGACACATGGTAAGAGTTTATGTAATGACAAAGCCTTTTCCTGTAGGACTCAGACTCTGTAGGAGAGGAACTGGCCTGGGGTTCCTAGAAGATGGTCATTAAAGAAGAGGTGGGGGGAGGGCTCCATCACCCCCAGGGACCTTCCCAGGCAGAGCCGCTGGAAATACCTAGCCCTCATCTGCCTGTCTCCACCCTACCCTTCTCGACTAACTTGGAAAGATGCCTCAGCTCATTCTGTGGGTCCCCAAAAGCACAGAGCCGGGTGGCACTTCACAGTCTCTATCAGCTGTGAGCAGGGCGATGTTTCTGAACACAGGCACACATGCATACTTGCTGCCCTGGAGACAGCCACCTTCCAGAGCATCCACTCTGTTCTCTGCCTGGCCACCAGAGCAGACTCTGGTAGTAGAGGTGCGCTCCTGTGCATGTCCCACAAATGCCAGCTGTGCTAAAGTAGCCGTTCATGACGGTTTTCTCCTGGTAAAAAGAAAAGAGAAGGAGGGAAATGGAAAGAAAGGAAACAGGAAGGGAGGGAGGACAAGAGAGAGGAAGGAAGGGGAGGAGGGAAGGAGGCGGGGAG